GGTCTTATTTATTGATGAAGTCGGCGTGCAATAAATAATGTAAAGAACAGAAGAAATCAGAGTTGAGCTTGTTACTCCGCCGCTGTATGTGATGTGACCCGACCTCACAGAAGTGTGTGTTTAAACCTCCGCCGTGCTCTTAAACAGCACACACTAACCAGAGTTTTGTTCTAATCTGTGACGAGTTTGCTCTGTTTATGCATTCTGAACTCTCATTGGTCCGCAGTCTGGATCACATGACTATAGACTGCAATAGTCCCGCCCACTTTCCATTAATTTCCATTCTTGATTAAAGTGATGAACATTACAAACTCTAATTTGAAGCAAAAATGTGTTTCAGTGAGGGAAAGAACTACAGTCAAGTCTAAATATTTTATAATTCCCCTGTAGACAATAATTTTGACCAAAATTACATATTTAAATGTTTTTACCTTGAAATAAAATGTCTTCATGCCTTAAAATATCTTGAGTGTAACTCGACACCCTCGCCTCATTTAGTATGTGCGGTACTTTGAATATGCAAATGAGCCCCGCCTCCACTCAGAGATCCACTGGTTGTCGATCACACGTTGATCTGATTGGTTACAAGGTGGTTTGTGACGTCAGAAACACCAGCGATTTCAAAGTGTGTTTTTGAGACTGTCTTTGGTTTACTGCAGTTTTAAGAAGGAAATACTCAGTCCACTTATCAACGCACACACAGTGTGTGTTAAAGCGGATTAAAAACACCACACACACACATAAACAACATTAAACGCTGAATTTACACGTTAAGACAATAGCAAAATATGCAAATATATAAGTATTTTAAGAGCGTAGGGACAAGTGGCTTGTTTCGACTCTGATTTACTGCACAGCATCATGGGTAATGTAGTTTTTCACCACAAATACCACTGTTAATCACGATAAGGTGAAATAATGCAAACTAACAGAAGCAAATACCATCCATTAACAACCTTGTAGATCACAGTACGGCTTTATAAGTTATCATTAAAAATATATTTCCAAATGTAGAAATTGAATAGAGCTTTTACTTCTGGAGCAAGACTGTTGCATTCTGTATATATAAAGCACAACATGTCTGTGTGTGATGTCAACGAGTCCCTCAATACTCTCACAATGCCAGTATTAAAATAAAACTATTAATTTTAAAACATTTATTATAATGCAGATAATACAAAATATGCATAAATATTTAAATGTATAATAAAAACATTTAAGTATAGCTACAAATATTTATTGCAGTTTTTGAAAAAATATTTTTATCATTATAACAAATAGCTTTTTTGAGCTATATAACATTGATTAGTTTGAAGTAAATTTGCTGAGCTGTTTAATAAAGCTAATGCTAGAGCGGTTAGTTAGCCGCGGACGCTAGCTCTAACGCCACGCCACGGTTTTAGTTCTCCTTCTGTCCCAAAGTCTGCTTGCCGTGATCTATAATGTTTGAACGAAACAACAACCGGGTCCGTCGCCATGGTTACTACGGCAGTACGAGCGGACACCAGGGATGACGCGGATATTACGTCAGTGTAATTTAAAATTGGAATGTCTCTGAAATAAAAAATCTTTGGGAACTTTTGAGATGTTGTGTGTCCATGACTGCAGGAAATAGATCACACTGTGCCAGTGATGTTTGGATATTTTATTACAAAATTACACATATTGTAGCTTTAATTGCATATGGTTGCAGTTGATTTGATTCCGTCATTAACGATCTTCATGAGCGGTTCATAAAGTCACGGTCTCGCTCTCTGACACATCAGCTAATGGCTTTGAGAGAGGACAGAAGAATGACTCGACGCGTCTCGCCTGGTTAGGACACGCTTTAAGTGAGACAAATCCACATAAAGACTTAACTACTGCGTCAATATGAAAACCCCAGCGCCGGGCTTCCCCAATAATTCACTTTAATCGCCGGCTTCAGTCGACTGAGATCTGTTTATTCACTGCGTTCATTAACCTCAAGACACTGTCAATCAGTCGACACATCATCATTAGTGAAAAACACAAAACACACCAGTGATGCTCCCTGACAACAGCCAACACACACTGATGTCATTAACCAATTACTGCTTTTTAATGAATGCATGATGATTAATGCAGAGTGCACACACACACACACACACATGCATGCACAAATACAGGCGCACAGATGCATGCACAAAAACGGGCACACACACATGCATGCACAAATATGGGCACACACACACACACACACACACATGCATGCACATATGGGCACACACACACACACATGCATGCACAAAAACGGGCACACACACACATGCATGCCCAAATATGGGCGCACACACACACACACACACACATGCATGCACAAATACGGGCACACACACACACACATGCATGCACAAAAACGGGCACACACACACATGCATGCCCAAATATGGGCGCACACACACACACACACACACACACACACACACACACACATGCATGCACAAATATGGGCACACACACACACACATGCATGCACAAAAACGGGCACACACACACATGCATGCCCAAATATGGGCGCACACACACACACACATGCATGCACAAATATGGGCACACACACACACACACACACACACATGCATGCACAAAAACGGGCACACACACATGCATGCACAAATATGGGCACACACACACACACACATGCATGCACAAAAACAGGCACACACACATGCATGCCCAAATATGGGCACACACACACACACACACACACATGCATGCCCAAATATGGCACACACACACACACACATGCATGGACAAATACGGCACACACACATGCATGCACAAAAACGGGCACACACACACACACACAAGCATGCATACAGACACATACACACACACACGCATATAGACACACACATATGCATGCATACACACACACATATGCATGCATACAGACACACACACTCTCTCTCTCTCTCTCACACACACACACACAAGAAAGCATACAGAAACGTGACACACACACACACACACACATAAATGCATGCATGCATACAGACACACACACACACACACACACGCATGCATGCATACAGACACACACACACACACACTCGAAATGATGCCTCTTTAGTCCAGCCTTAAATCATATCATCCCCATTCCGCTCTTCATAACCATCACAACGCCATAATCTAATAACACTCGGCTCCCATCAGCTGTCAGTCAGCGAGAGCACACAGAACACACACCGCTCTGATCGACTACACTGAACAAGCACTGCTCTTTAACAGGAACACAATATCCTCTTATCATATCAATCAAAGATTACACATTAATTCTGCAATAAAGGCTGGAGTCAGAAACACGACTGCTCTCATCATTAATATGATGGATTACTGGAGTAACGGTGAGCTTTGAGCATGAGTGTGTGTGTGTGTGTGTGTGAAGAACCTCCTGCTGCTGCAACTTTCTTTAAATACATGCAGCTTTGTAAATTGGATCCATTTATTAGGAGCGGATAAGACAGCATTCATTTCACAACGCAGGAACACACCGTTCCACTGCGCACACATGTGACGTGCAAAACACTCAGACGCTTTATATGATATGCAAGTTGCATACAAAGTTGCATTGTGGGAACAAACACCAAGAGATGGATCTCACAGCCTCGCTGCCATAAAAATGTAAGCTAAAGTAAAATTATGCTTTAATAATCACTCAGTTCATGAGGTATGGATCTTTAATCCACATTAAAAAGCCAGATTATATTGGACAAACGTGGAGAGGAGAATAAAGACATTAATAAAGCGGATCCGTGCAAGAATAAAAGATTGGAGCCATATTTCAGTAAAGACTGCGGTTTACCGTTGACATGATCACACTTACAGAGGGAGGTAATGGGATCATCAATAAGATGCGCTTGAGCCCTAATAAACCGCACATGCCCAACCCCAAAAACAGAGACCAGCCGAGTGTGTGTGTGTGTGTGTGTGTGTGTGACTCCTCAGTGAACGCCTTACACACACCGTCTGACAAGCCGGATCTTAAACAGGGAAAAGTGTGGCCTTTCATGATAAAAACGCTTTTAAGTCAGACGACGGTCTCCAGACAGATCAGATGACGAAACTTCATCAGGAAATCTTTTATCTCATCAAAAAAAAAAAGCTGCTTTTCCGTCACATTTACAAGACTTCTCAAAAAAAGGATGTTGCAAAATGATTTTATATGATTTCCCTTTTGATGCATGAACGTGAAAATAAATAACATAAATATAGGCAATAGAAGTGGCCTTTTCTGTATCCTTCACATCGGGCCAAACCAGAAGATGTGTGTGTAACCGCTCACACAGATGCCTGTTTATCAGAGACACACACAACAGATTCTGAGCAAGAATATGAAATTGTACGTATCAATATTAAAATTCACATCTCAACACACAAATGCACTTTAGAGACAGTGCTAGATAAATATGAATATGAATATTTGACTCTTAAGGGGGGATTCATAAATGAGCGATGCCATAGAATGATCATCCCAAAGAACATTTTTAACCTTTTTTCCCACTCTAAAGATCCCAATGGAAAGGGTGTTCTTCAAGCAACCAATATAGAAACTTTATTTTTAAGAGCTTGAGTGAACTATATCCTCAGAATATTACACACCTGCAAAAATACAGGGATGTTTTAACCCAAATTTGGGTCAAATATGAACAAACCTAGACATTGGGTTACGTTTTCAAAGTACATTTTTAACCCAACGGTTGGGTTCGTCCATATTTGACACAAATTTGGGTCAAAACAACCCTGAATTATGTTATATATATATATATATATTTATAAATTTTTTTTTTTTTTGAGAGATTGTTCCTGTTGTTGATGAAGTGCGTTCAGCATCACCTGAAATCACCGTGATTTATTTAGTTTTTGTTAAAGAACTGCGCAAAAAAAACAATCACCAAACGCGCAATCACTGATTTGGAAAGTCTCCCGCAAGTTTACAGAAACCCGTAACGCTAAACTCATAGAAACGAGCTTCATACCTTCCTCAGGATCCATTGGATGAGCAGCAGAACGCTCCAGCAGAGCAGCCTCATCGCACCGTTCCTAGAGAACACTAGTCCCGTGTTGAGTGAACATAAACCGGACGCAAATCACCAGCCGAAACCCATCCGCGGGGAAGAACTCGCTTTAACACACACACACTGTCACGAGAAAGCCGCGCTCTCGGAGTTATCACGGCAAACCACGCAGGCTCAGCTCTCGGAGTCCTGGTCATTAGTCAACTGCACATCCATGCGCGGGCTTCGGGTGTTACGGAGGTGAAAAGTTGGTGTGGGAACGAACGGTGGCGCAAGTTCTTCTGTCAGCTGGAGCTCGCGCTTAATGCCCTCATTACCGCGCGCGTTCCGTGTTTGAAAAATAAAACTGTGTTGCGTTCTCTCTCACACGAAAGCGCGCGCCCTCTCGCCCTCTCTCTCTCTCTCAACCGCTGAATGTGTGAATATCTCGATTAGGTAAAAAAAAAAAAAAACCCTCCCGTGCGTCTTTTCTCATATGCGCGCCGCGCGGTGCCAAAAGTTGGCACACTCCTCCTCTCATATTCCCATTACTATTATTATTTTGCATTGGGTAAAAAAAAAGTTTTCCTGAGTTTTTAAAATTCAGACCACATTTTTCCAAATTCGAGTTCACAGAATGTTACAGATTAATTTTGAATGGCTTTAAAGTGCATCTTGTCTCACGCGCTGTTAAAATATGAAACGCGCAATCTGTGCGCGAGACACATTCCGTTCATGACTTTTCTTTTTCTTATTATTTAGCATCGCTGTCATGTAGCTACAGAGAGAGAGGGGGGGGGGGTCTTTCTTTTCACCAGAATGCATGCACTCGAGCACGGAGAATGGAGATGAGAGGAAATAAAGCGCATCTATAGTAGCGCATGATAATTCAGCGACGCCTCAACCTTCGCGCATCTGATAGATGGCAGATATTTGATGGCCACCACTGAAGCCCTTCATCGCCCCCTTGCGAATGACTGACAGAAAACATCTGAATGTAGACTTGCAGGGTTAGGGTTCGAGTTAGACATATGACCGCTTGACTATTATAATTGTGAGATAAAATGATTGATGTAAAGAGATACTGAAGCAGAATGCAACCAACGGCGCCAGACAAGAACAAGAACAGCAAGAAGGTGAAAACACAAGTTAATGGCCTTCATGGATACATATTTTTGGAGCATAGAAATAAATGTTCGGTTGGTTTGGTTTCCATTGGGATCCGGCGGCTCGTGCAGAATTGAACTTGGCAGGTGAATTTGGCGCGCGCGTTTGCTATTTCTCAGAGAACTACGCCGCGCGCTTTTGCACAAATGAATGAACATGCCCGGGAAAAATGAACGCAATTTCTCACATATCAACTCAACTTTACACTCCGCTCTCTTCTTCTCTGCAAATCAACACACTCATTGTAGAACGACAAGAGGAGAGAGTTCGCCTCTATAACACTCGCTCTGTGTATGAATGGACGAATATACGAGCAGACAAACACTGAAGAGCAGAACATTTCGGATTTATGCACAAACATGCCAAATAACCGTATCTGATATTTTCACCTTGTAAACACACGTTTTAATCATAGTTTGTCATTATAAAACGGCTATTTGAATAGCATTTCCTCATAAAATCTAAAGGACACCATTTTTTTTAAGCTATTAATCATTTTTTTTAATAGACATTTTTTCTTGGTTATGTGAAAGCGAAGTGAAAATTCCGTATGACTGCAAACATTATGGGAATGTAACTTTTGAATGCTCTCTGAGTAACAATAAAAAATCCTGGACGTCCAATTAAACATAAAAAACCCGAACAATGTCAAAATTAAGGAGTCTCGCACGTGACATGCAGGAAAAAATATGCACATCATGGCCACGAATGAACAAATCGTTCCCACGACCTACAAATCCATCAGCAAGTTCTACTAATTCATTCCCTCATGATATGAACAATAAGTTCTTTCTTGTTTTCGTGTGCAAATCAAAACGAGTGAGTGAATTATTATACCGTAAGTATAATTCAGTAAAACGAGGGAATAAGTCATTATATCGTTGGTACGATTTAGTAAAACGAGGGAACGAATTATCATATCCAACCCGATTTCAGAGATGGTCCTCACTGCGAAACATGAAATCCATGGGGAGGAGTCGGATCCAGATCCAACTCCTCCCACCTTACATACACCTAAACCTAACCAACTCCGCCCCCTGATCCCTAAACCCAACCCTAAACCTACCCATCTCCACCCCTTGGATCGTGATCTGACTCCTCCCCGTGGATCTCATGTTCTGCATTGAGGTGCTACTGCGATTTCACGGCAATTCGTACGAATTTTACGAGGTGGCTAATTCGTGACAATTCGTACGACCTCAATCGTACAAATTAGTTTCATTTTTGCTAAATCGTATATAGTTGCCCAATTTGTATGAATTCATATAAATGACATACCCCTGACCCCGCCCCTAAACCAACCCATCTCGTGGGTTTGGACAAATCGTACAAATTCGTACGAGTGAGGTCGTACAAACTCGTACGAATTAGCCACCTTTTAATCACTCATTGGTCGTGAGATAGCGTTGTCATATCATATGTTTGATTTAGTAAAATGATTGTACACACAATTAAGTAAACGAGGGAAGGAATTATTATATATTACCTATGATTTAGTAAAACGAGGCAACGATATCGTAGGTACGATTTAGTAAAACAAGGGAACTAATTATCATATATGATTTAGTAAAATGATCGTACGCACAATTTAATAAAACGAGGGAGTGAATTATTATATCGATTTAGTAAAACAAGGGAACAAATTATTATATTGTTAGTAGCCTACGATTTCGTAAAACGAGGGAACAAATGTTTATATCAAAAGTATGTTTTAGTAAAACTAGGGAACTAATTATTATATCGTATGTACGATTTAGTAAAACAAGGGAACGAATCATTGTATTTTACGAACGATTTAGTAAAACTAGGGAACTAATTATTATATCGTATGTACGATTTAGTAAAACAAGGGAACGAATCATTGTATTTTACGAACGATTTAGTAAAACTAGGGAACTATTATTATATCGTATGTACGATTTAGTAAAACAAGGGAACGAATCATTGTATTTCACGAACGATTTAGTAAAACTAGGGAACTAATTATTATATCGTATGTACGATTTAGTAAAACAAGGGAACGAATCATTGTATTTTACGAACGATTTAGTAAAACTAGGGAACTAATTATTATATCGTATGTACGATTTAGTAAAACAAGGGAACGAATCATTGTATTTTACGAACGATTTAGTAAAACTAGGGAACTAATTATTATATCGTATGTACGATTTAGTAAAACAAGGGAACGAATCATTGTATTTTACGAACGATTTAGTAAACCTAGGGAACTAATGATTATTTCGTAAGTACGATTAGTAAAATGATCCTACACACAATTTAGTACAACAAAGGAAGGAATTAGTATACTGTACATACGATTTAGTTAAACAAATTATTATATCGTACATACGATTTAGTAAAACAAGGTAATGATTATATTGTCTGCAAGATTTAGTAAAACGAGGGAACAAATTATTATATCGCACATTCGATTTAGTAAAACGAGGGAATGGAACAGTATATCGTAAGTACGGTTTAATAAATGAATTAATATATTGTATGTGCAATTTAGTAAACTGAGGGTACGATTTAGTAAAACGATCATACGCACAGTTTAGTAAAACAGAGAATGAATTAGTATATTGCAAGTACGATTTAGTAAAACAAATTATTATATTGACATACGATTTAGTAAAACGAGGAAAAAAATTATATCGTATGTTACTAAACAACAGATAACTTATTTATGGCACTTGAAGAACAAGAGAACCTTGCCAGAACATTCCCCGTTAGCTGGAACAGCTTTAAGAATATATATATATAAATAAATAATAATGTGTGGAACAAAAAACAACCAAAAAGTTCATTAAAACGAACAAGCAAACACCCATGCATGTATCGACTTCTCCAGCATCAGTGAAGTGCTGAAGGTGCTTAGATTGTGTCGCTCGTTAATAGAAAATTACACTGTAAAGATTCTCTGTTTAGACTTCACTGTCGCCAGCAGAGAGAACGCAACCAACAGTAAATCACCATCACAAAGCTAAATGGCTAATTACATCCATGCAATTTAAAATCAGAACCAGCCAGATTCACTTTAGAAGAACACCAATCAGAGAGCCTTAAAGTCTATGGGCTGACGAGCTGAGAACTTCACAAAAACTCACTATTTTGGTTTGCTTCTGTCACCGCTGAAAGTTGAACAACATTAATGTTCTTTACACCTGAAGTGAAATAAATGAATGTTTTTGTGATTCTGTACGCCGGCTCAGTTTTGATGAGAAACTTACATTAGCATTTTGCTGACCTTTACCTTATGATAATATAAACTATCAGCATTATCGATTAGGAGAGAGAACACAGGGCGGTTTATTTCATTTGTTTGCAGAAGAAAAACAGTTTAATATTAAAGGGCCGCCCCGCGTACACTTTCCTCTGCGCCGTTATTGGAGTTTAGAGTTCGTGTGAGGACGAGATGCCTTTTCTCCCGGGTTAAGATAAAAATATAAAAGAAATATAGGATAGACTACAAAACAAAAGCCCCCATTATTCCAAAGGTTCCACGAACGTTATTAAAGACCAGACAACTTTAGACAAACTTTCTATTAACATTTCCCAATACCGGTCCGCTGGTGCCAAAACATTTTGTGATATAATCACTCAAACATCATTTAGAGGTCAAAAATAAAAAAGACCTGCTATAAAACAAAGGTTTTAAAAAACCAAATTGGTATTTTCTTCTCTATTGTGTCGTATATCGAGTGAATCGCTTCAGGAACAAGATCAAATGTGGGCGGGACTTGATTTAGTCTGGATAGTTGTGGTTTGCTATTGGCTGATCTCATGTGAGTGACAGGTTATAGCCCCGCCCACGTCACATGAGAAGAGATGCTGCAAGAGGAACTGATTCTGATTCTACATTATTAACACAATAATGATGATGTGCACCGATAAATCATGCAATATTACATAAAAAACAAGTCAATTTTGATTTCATGGTGACTTTAAGCTGCAACTGTAAAGAAAACCACTGTCTGACGGACAAATCTCGAACAGAATTTGCTAGTCCAATTCTAAAGTCTGCCGTGAACATTGGTGATGTGTGTGTGTGTTTGCTGGAATGTGTGTCTCCAGGCTCAGCAACATCCCATGATGAGGTGACACAGGACACACACCTCTAACGAGAGCTTTTGCTCGTGTAAAACCCTCGTTCGCCCGCTGGCCGTGTGTGTTCATCCCTCTATAAGGCCAACTAACACGAGTCCAGCCTGTCGTATAGTTGTGTTTGTTC